TTATTATTATTATTATGAACTCGTTAACTCGGTCGACTTTCTCTAGTCAGTAAATTTAAATAAAAATGAATGAGCGGTTAAACCACCGAATCGACTTCATTTACTAGCGCTAGATTCGTTTATACGCGTGCGAACGTTTAATTTTTTAATCATTGTTTATTTTGTTTCTGTTTGCAAGATCAACGATCGTTAACGATTTTACTGCCCTTTCGTTGTGTCATCGTCGTCATAATTTTTTTTCTGTTAAGAGTTGAAACAGTTATGAGCGTCGACAAAAATGTTCTAATTGTTTTATACATTTAATCATTTTAACTCATATTGTTTTTTCAGTTTTAAAGAACTAAACCCATATAGGATAAGAATCGTCAGATTTGTCACGATTTATAATATTTTGTTGATTCAATTTGTTTTAATCTTTTTTTTTTTCAATACAATTCGCGAATTTTCTATACAACGTATTTTCGATTATCGCATTTCTCATTTGCCTTTGAAGTGTCGTTTAAAACTTTCGAGTAAGACTATTTGCGAAAGGAGATAGGAGAGGGTATCTTCAAAACTACCTCGTATTCAGTATGTGTATATCTTTACGTGTCTGTATATACATTGCTCCTCTCTTCTTTTCCTATCCTCCATTTTTCTACAATCCTCTCAACCCCAATTAATTAAACCTACGATTTTTTATTTAACATATTTTTACATTTGTTACGACCAGTTAGTCTACTGCGCGTTTTGCTTTTATTCAAAACTGAAGAAAAAGGATTTTTTAAGTGAAAACGTTCTTAACAATATCGAATTCTATTTTTAATGAATACTTAGGACAAATATTTGTTGCTTTTATTATATCAGATTAATCATCGGAAACAAAAAAAGTTTAACTAGCGTTGGGTATTTATAATTTTGTTAAGTTCTTGTTTTTTTGTCAACGTCAATTCATAGCAAATAAAATACGAGGGAGTGGGTTGAAAAGTTTTGAATTTCGAAAGAGAAAAATATACTTTTTTCTTTTTTGAGAGTTATCAGAAGTAAAGCAAGTACAGAATAACGTTACATCACTGCATATTTATTAATGCACATTTATTTTTTAATCGTTCATGAGTGCCATGCGCGATCGTGCTTTTTCTGTTTGGCGTCTAAAAGTACAAATGCATTAGACTGCTAAATCGAAAATAACTACACGTTCGGTGTATTTTCTTATAGTATAACAGAGCACTATCGCATTGTTAGACATTTTTCGACTAAATTTTTGCAAAAGTCACTGTATTCGAACAAATGCCATTTTTTGCATGAAATAGGGAACAAAATCAGTGCTCGTGTTGCGACGAATAACGAAAGGAGAATGAAGAGTAATGAAAGAGCCCCTAACGACGTTCAAAAAATAATTTTCGTTAGATCACTAAAGTCAGCAGTGTGGCAACAGTTAGTGAAATGGATAGGTCAATCTGTTCGAAACAAACAAAAAAGAACCAGGTGCTGTTGACTCTCAAGATAGGCAAAATGTGGATAATTAACGTATTTTAGTTTGTTTTTTCGTTTTATTCAAGATCGTATACTTAAGTCATCAAAATGAAATATTTTTCAAAAAAATGGTTTCAACTACTAAATTTATTTTGCCTTATATTGTATCTCAATAAAAACGATAGTAATTTATTTATTTGTATATTAATTCGGGTATTTTCGCGATCATTCGATTGATTCCGTACGGCATTCATCGGGCACATCTATTTGTATACTGTGTCGTTCTTTCCGACC